ATTCTTATAGATGAAACACGCATCGCATGACCCTGTTTATCTTGCTCCACATGAGCAAGTGAATTCATAGACACACAATGAAGTGGAAAAAAGAAACTTTTCGCTGAACTATTCGTTCTTGTAGTCCTGGGGTTATTGGTTTTCAAACATTGCAGTCGAAATTATTGTCATCTCTAAAAGACAGTGTTTAAACCAACTTGACGAGTTGATTGTCAAACACTGTTGACAGGAAGCCCACACGGTTAGTGTCCACTTCTTCTAGCTGAGCACTTTTACCAATCATCCATCTAGGTGAATGCAGTCCGAAGTTATTTAGAGCAATCAGAGACGATCAGAGTTGATTATGAAATCGAATTTCTCAGGGTTGACGTCATAAAGAATTGTCAGTGGAGTTGAAGATTGAACGATCAATTCTTGGTTGTTTGCTCAAAATCAACTTCCCCGATTTTCGCGGAGGCATCAATACGACAGTCATCGTCTCATCGGTCGCTGTTCAGAAAGAAGAGTGAAACATCGTCAGAAACCTTAGTTCGCTTATTCCTTTTATATGTTGGTGTAACAATAAACAAATCTAACGCGGCAGATCGGTGTTTTGGTTTTTGCGTCCGTTATTACTAAGCGTTTCTGAGAAAACTTCGAAGAACAGCGTGGGCTCGAGCGTAGCGAGAGCTGGGCATTAACGGTTTATGAGACGTGATTGACAGTTTCTGACGATGGAAACAGATCTGGCGGATTCAAACAGTTGGTGAAAGTTTGGATAGTCACCGTTCATCTTTCCTGGTGCCGGTCAAGTCCTCTTTGAACAAGCAATATCTGGAACAATTTTGGAATTTGCTCAAGTTCAACAATGCCTGGGTCAAAGAAGGGACAGAGTGTCTTGAATGCAAACAGGAAAGTAAGTCATGGTGACTTGTCTGTTAATTGTAACGATGTGTCTGATGTTAAGCATGACATGGTTGATGTTATTGTTTCGCCGTTCAGGGATAATAGGAACATCAAACTCCCTAAATTAGAACCACGGTGTTTTGATGGAAACCCGGCCGATTATTTACCATTTGTAAAGGAGTTTGAGATCATGTTGAGTGGTTTTTTATTAAGTGATGAATTGAAGTTAATGTATTTGATGAGATATTGCACTGGAGATGCTGCAAGAGCTATACAGTGTTGTAAGTTTATGAAGCCAAAAGAGGGCTACTACGAGGCAACGAGCATATTACGTCAAAGGTTTGGAAGACCTACGATGATTGCAGGGAAATTATTCGACGCTGTTAAGGATAATGGTGGTCAATTACGGGATGACTCTCAGGCACTCACTGAGTTTTTAGATAATTTGCTAATTTACAAGAATGGAATGATTTCGATGAATCGCGTGAGTGACCTCAACTCGAGTTTTATACTAGAAGTAATAGCAAGACGTCTACCTACTCGACTGCAAAGGAAGTGGGTGAAGATGAGCTCCCGTATGGAGGATGAGGGTATCGAGCCAAAGTTTGATGATATCCTGAAACTGGTAAATACTAGTGTCAATCAATCTATGAGCAAGTTTTCCAGTCTGTTAGATCTCACCCCTAGAATAGAGCAGTCTGAGGGTAAAACGCACTCATTGATGACGAATAAGCCTCAGAGAGGTGGATATCGAGAAGACTCCATGATGTATAGTAATGCATATAGACCTAGTGAGTGTAACAGGTTTCGTAGTACATCCTCAACAGATAAGTTACAAGATGCAAGACAAACACGGCTTTGTTTTACACGTGTGCAAGAGGTGCATACAGAAGTGAACTGTGAATCAGTGAGCAAGTTCAGTGATAAGCTAAATGTAAACTCCAGGTCTGACTCCGAATTGTGTGACGATAACGGTGTTGTGAAGAAGTCTGTAGTTGCAACTGGTAAGCCGTTGCTGAATAGTGTGTCACAGAATAGAGTTGCTGCTTCAGAGTGCAGTTCTGACCCTACAAGTTTACAAGGTATAACTAGTCAGAGTGAAGATATAAAACCTTTAATGATTTTTGAGGAGGAACCAAAATTGTCTACTTCTGTTATTAAAGAGTTTGAAAATGATGAACTTGACGGTAAATTGAATATTTGTGGTAATGATCATGATAGTGCAGATTTGTCTTTGGTTGATCATTATGAGATGCGGGATATGCCCACTACTGCTAAGTTAAATAAAGGTTCTGTACAACTACAACGTGAAGTAGAATTGAACGCAGATGCAGTTCCAGAAGATGTGCATACTTGTGAGACAGTCAGTGTAATTGATCAGCGTGTAGCCCACCTATCATCAGATGATAGTGCTAAACCCGAACTAGTAGTGAAAGACAGCAGTGGTGGTAATCTTGCAGTTGGACAACTATCTGAAAGCCGAAAAAGAACAGCTTCTGATCCACCGCTAACTTCATCACCTTGTGTCACTCAGTCATCGTTGGTGTTTTCATCCACAATGAAACAGATGCCCATCAACTCAAGTATCTTTTGCAATGACTATGATAGTATTGGTGCGTTTGAAAAGACGAAAGATATTGCTCAGTTTAGTGTGGATAAGCCAAGTGTAAAGGAGAGAGTTATTGTTAAATTGACTTGCACGAATAAAGGCATTTCTAGTTTCAAGTTACTATTTGAGTGTTATTATCTTTGGTGTAAATTACTCTGTTTCTATACTTGGTTGATGAGATATGTCGTGTGTTTGTTGGTCATCTATATTCTACGATACAATGACATGGGCGTGTTGCCGTTCAGATTTGAGGATATAGCTGATAGAAGGAGTCAGCAAATGAACTCTGCGACGATTTTCCAACCTAGGGCGTCAACCTGAGAAGGGTTGTAGGCGTACTGGTGTAAGTCCTACAGTTCTTCAAAGGGTAGCGCATCAATGAGCAGTCCAATGTGCTTGGTGTGTGATCTTGTACATATGTTCATATTGTATATACTGAATTGATATCATCTGTCATCTAGCTGTTGGTAATTCTGTTTGTGTCCGGACGACTTCCACTTGGATCATCAACCTGAGAAGGAATGTAGGCGTACTGCTGTAAGTCCTACGGTTCTTCAAGGGTAGTTCGTCAAGGCAGAATCCGCAACATTTGATGTGTTGATTGTACACATGTTTGTGTTAAATAGTTGTGTGAGTTCCAGTTGATGTAATTGTTGGTTAATCTTGTTTGTGTCTGGACATTCCACAACTTACAATCGTCAGCCTGTGAAGGGTTGCAGGCGTACTGATGTAAGTCCTCCAATTCTTCAAAATAATTCCACCAAGACATGATCCGCGAGGTTATTTGTACTGTTTGTGTATACGTGGGGTGTGTCTTCGCAATTTGTGATTTTTGATCAGTTGTGTTTACTCGTTGTTTTCGTGCCTTGTTTTTTATTGCATAATTTTGTTAAAATTTTCGTCGTGATTACTTCTGAAGTTGTTTCTTGTCTTCTACGTTCGTGAATGAATTGATTGATGTTGAGGACAGCAGATGGGTCGTATACGCCGGGGAGGCTAGGCTATTGCTGAGAATGAAACGCACACGGAGATAATTGTTAGCTGCGGTCCGACACGCCGGGGAGAAAGAGTGTAAACGACTGAGGCTCGCATGCGTCACCGCTACTAGAACTGAGGCAGAATGAGTGACAAGCGATTTCAATGGTAATTGGTAGTGAGTAATTAAGAGGATGTGCATAGAGTATCGTGAGGTGCTGCCATGGTCACTTTGCATTCTGCAAGAGTCATTCTAGCAAGTGGCGATTGTGTTGCAAGATGTCAAGAGGAGGTCTCTGTCTGGACGCGCAGGTCGTCATTGATGTGTGAGATTGTGCTGTGGGTATGCTTGTGGTGTGTTGGCTTTTCTGTTTGTTTTCCATTTCAGCTCTGTCCGTGTGACCCAGGTTCTCGCAATGGCATCCAAGTCAACGTGCATTGATCGTGAAGGAAAAAAGGGTTGGATCCCTTTTTTGCCGGGGAGTGTCAATGGAGTTGAAGATTGAACGATCAATTCTTGGTTGTTTGCTCAAAATCAACTTCCCCGATTTTCGCGGAGGCATCAATACGACAGTCATCGTCTCATCGGTCGCTGTTCAGAAAGAAGAGTAAAATATCGTCAGAAGTAACAATGATTTATTATTGTAATATTAGTTTTCAGACCTTAGTTGCTTAGTTCGTTTATTCCTTTTATATGTTGGTGTAACAATAAAGAAATAACAAGCAGCAGATCGGTGTTTTGGTTTTTGCGTCCGTTATAACTAAGCGTTTCTGAAACTTCGAAGAACAGCGTGGGCCCGAGCGTAGCGAGAGCTGGGCATTAACGGTTTATGAGACGAGACTGACATCCAGATTACTTTCCGCCTATTAATGTTTCTCTGTTTAACAATTCATCTCTCTATTATTGCACAATCATCACTGGTATTTCATTCTATATTTGTTAACAATTTCAATTGTTCACCATCTTCATAACTAGATATACTTACTACCTTTTAGGAAAAATACTCACACTGTATTCATTCCATCTTGTCTCAGTAATGTCGCATTATTATTTATTTATTATCATTTTTGGTCTTTATTATGTATTTCACAACTACTTTTCTTATATTGTGTTCATTCCAACTGACTTCAGTTAACTTGAAGAACACATCAGCCTCTGTTGATCTCACTTAAAACGCTATCATCATTCTCATTATAGTATTATCATTATTATTATTATTATTACTGTTTTGATTATCTCTCATTTTGCATATTTGATTATATGCTCTAATTGAATTCATGCATTGGTTCGGTTTCTTCTCTTTAGTGTGATCAGTCATGCATGGTTTGCGTACATTGTAGTTATGAGAATTAACGTTTATATCGACGTCTTTTCTCCACATGACTTCAGCATCTTTTCTCATACTAAATGCTTTCACAATTTCAAAGCTGTATTCTAATCAGGTAGTGAATATGTTTGATGAAATGTTACAGACATATACTAGCTATTATTTACCAATCACATCTGTTGAATCTTATTTTTCTAAAATAGGAATTCTGTATAACAGATTATGGTGTCTGTTATCTTACTGATATGCTGTCGGAACTGTCTGATAATGTTGTGGAAGTAATTGGTTCGGGTTCGGACACAGTTGTGTCATTACCAAGACTCGTACAAACCAGTGAGGAAAGGTATCGCACCACAGTGTTTGCGGATGAAGTGGTCGATCTTCTCAGTGAAAGACCTCGTTGCCGACTGCCTATTAATAAATTTATTCCATCGTATTACCATCATTTTAGTCGACAGTGTCGAGTATCTGACTATGGCTTTACAAAACTAGCGGACCTTCTGGAGGCGATTTCCAGCGTAATCCAGGTAGAAAGTTTATTTAGTTTAAGAAGTTTTTGATTTTGTGTATACATCCTCATTCATACGACTCGAATGCATGTTGAAAATGTTTTTTCTTCTTCGTTTTTGTTCCCAGTGGGACATAGGACTTCAAGCTGAAGCTTCGAAATTTCAGTAGCAGCGGTGTTGATGATGTTTTCGGGGTGGGGTCGCTTGCCTGCGTCATGGCCAACCTTCCCTGTATATCGGTCCTGTTACCGGCTTGTCGACGTGAATGAGTGAGTCGGCCGGTGATTGAAACCTGAAACACGCCATCAAAATGTTTCAAAAAATCTGATGAATAATCCAACTGTAACTAGTGGTGGAGGGTGGAAATAAGTAAGCACTGACAAGGGTCAGGTAGTATGAAAGACACACAGAAAAAAGGATGTTAATGAAAGAACTTGGAGATGAGTGTCCAAAATAAATTATGTAATTGGTAGATGGAGTAAATACAGAGTTAGTTAAGAAAACGAAGTTCCTAAAATGCTATACAAAAATCCACAAATAGTACTAGTAACACAGTAGTCGAACCTGGAACTATACCGAGGGTAGAAGGAGAGGATGGAGAATTTTACTCTGTGTGCACAAATCAGGGTTTTCCATCCGACTTGCTAAGGTCTCGGGTATTCAAAGTGTACGGAAGCTTTCCGTTTTCACGAGGCTTCTTTTGACTTTTTGGACGACTTTGAATGAATTCTGTTTACATATTGAGTGACCAGTGTTGAATATGTGTTCACTTAGAGCGCTCCTTATTGATCCACTGTTACCTTTACGTAGCCAAGCGGGATAGTGTTTTCTGATTCTTATAGATGAAACACGCATCGCATGACCCTGTTTATCTTGCTCCACATGAGCAAGTGAATTCATAGACACACAATGAAGTGGAAAAAAGAAACTTTTCGCTGAACTATTCGTTCTTGTAGTCCTGGGGTTATTGGTTTTCAAACATTGCAGTCGAAATTATTGTCATCTCTAAAAGACAGTGTTTAAACCAACTTGACGAGTTGATTGTCAAACACTGTTGACAGGAAGCCCACACGGTTAGTGTCCACTTCTTCTAGCTGAGCACTTTTACCAATCATCCATCTAGGTGAATGCAGTCCGAAGTTATTTAGAGCAATCAGAGACGATCAGAGTTGATTATGAAATCGAATTTCTCAGGGTTGACGTCATAAAGAATTGTCAGTGGAGTTGAAGATTGAACGATCAATTCTTGGTTGTTTGCTCAAAATCAACTTCCCCGATTTTCGCGGAGGCATCAATACGACAGTCATCGTCTCATCGGTCGCTGTTCAGAAAGAAGAGTGAAACATCGTCAGAAACCTTAGTTCGCTTATTCCTTTTATATGTTGGTGTAACAATAAACAAATCTAACGCGGCAGATCGGTGTTTTGGTTTTTGCGTCCGTTATTACTAAGCGTTTCTGAGAAAACTTCGAAGAACAGCGTGGGCTCGAGCGTAGCGAGAGCTGGGCATTAACGGTTTATGAGACGTGATTGACAGTTTCTGACGATGGAAACAGATCTGGCGGATTCAAACAGTTGGTGAAAGTTTGGATAGTCACCGTTCATCTTTCCTGGTGCCGGTCAAGTCCTCTTTGAACAAGCAATATCTGGAACAATTTTGGAATTTGCTCAAGTTCAACAATGCCTGGGTCAAAGAAGGGACAGAGTGTCTTGAATGCAAACAGGAAAGTAAGTCATGGTGACTTGTCTGTTAATTGTAACGATGTGTCTGATGTTAAGCATGACATGGTTGATGTTATTGTTTCGCCGTTCAGGGATAATAGGAACATCAAACTCCCTAAATTAGAACCACGGTGTTTTGATGGAAACCCGGCCGATTATTTACCATTTGTAAAGGAGTTTGAGATCATGTTGAGTGGTTTTTTATTAAGTGATGAATTGAAGTTAATGTATTTGATGAGATATTGCACTGGAGATGCTGCAAGAGCTATACAGTGTTGTAAGTTTATGAAGCCAAAAGAGGGCTACTACGAGGCAACGAGCATATTACGTCAAAGGTTTGGAAGACCTACGATGATTGCAGGGAAATTATTCGACGCTGTTAAGGATAATGGTGGTCAATTACGGGATGACTCTCAGGCACTCACTGAGTTTTTAGATAATTTGCTAATTTACAAGAATGGAATGATTTCGATGAATCGCGTGAGTGACCTCAACTCGAGTTTTATACTAGAAGTAATAGCAAGACGTCTACCTACTCGACTGCAAAGGAAGTGGGTGAAGATGAGCTCCCGTATGGAGGATGAGGGTATCGAGCCAAAGTTTGATGATATCCTGAAACTGGTAAATACTAGTGTCAATCAATCTATGAGCAAGTTTTCCAGTCTGTTAGATCTCACCCCTAGAATAGAGCAGTCTGAGGGTAAAACGCACTCATTGATGACGAATAAGCCTCAGAGAGGTGGATATCGAGAAGACTCCATGATGTATAGTAATGCATATAGACCTAGTGAGTGTAACAGGTTTCGTAGTACATCCTCAACAGATAAGTTACAAGATGCAAGACAAACACGGCTTTGTTTTACACGTGTGCAAGAGGTGCATACAGAAGTGAACTGTGAATCAGTGAGCAAGTTCAGTGATAAGCTAAATGTAAACTCCAGGTCTGACTCCGAATTGTGTGACGATAACGGTGTTGTGAAGAAGTCTGTAGTTGCAACTGGTAAGCCGTTGCTGAATAGTGTGTCACAGAATAGAGTTGCTGCTTCAGAGTGCAGTTCTGACCCTACAAGTTTACAAGGTATAACTAGTCAGAGTGAAGATATAAAACCTTTAATGATTTTTGAGGAGGAACCAAAATTGTCTACTTCTGTTATTAAAGAGTTTGAAAATGATGAACTTGACGGTAAATTGAATATTTGTGGTAATGATCATGATAGTGCAGATTTGTCTTTGGTTGATCATTATGAGATGCGGGATATGCCCACTACTGCTAAGTTAAATAAAGGTTCTGTACAACTACAACGTGAAGTAGAATTGAACGCAGATGCAGTTCCAGAAGATGTGCATACTTGTGAGACAGTCAGTGTAATTGATCAGCGTGTAGCCCACCTATCATCAGATGATAGTGCTAAACCCGAACTAGTAGTGAAAGACAGCAGTGGTGGTAATCTTGCAGTTGGACAACTATCTGAAAGCCGAAAAAGAACAGCTTCTGATCCACCGCTAACTTCATCACCTTGTGTCACTCAGTCATCGTTGGTGTTTTCATCCACAATGAAACAGATGCCCATCAACTCAAGTATCTTTTGCAATGACTATGATAGTATTGGTGCGTTTGAAAAGACGAAAGATATTGCTCAGTTTAGTGTGGATAAGCCAAGTGTAAAGGAGAGAGTTATTGTTAAATTGACTTGCACGAATAAAGGCATTTCTAGTTTCAAGTTACTATTTGAGTGTTATTATCTTTGGTGTAAATTACTCTGTTTCTATACTTGGTTGATGAGATATGTCGTGTGTTTGTTGGTCATCTATATTCTACGATACAATGACATGGGCGTGTTGCCGTTCAGATTTGAGGATATAGCTGATAGAAGGAGTCAGCAAATGAACTCTGCGACGATTTTCCAACCTAGGGCGTCAACCTGAGAAGGGTTGTAGGCGTACTGGTGTAAGTCCTACAGTTCTTCAAAGGGTAGCGCATCAATGAGCAGTCCAATGTGCTTGGTGTGTGATCTTGTACATATGTTCATGTTGTATATACTGAATTGATATCATCTGTCATCTAGCTGTTGGTAATTCTGTTTGTGTCCGGACGACTTCCACTTGGATCATCAACCTGAGAAGGAATGTAGGCGTACTGCTGTAAGTCCTACGGTTCTTCAAGGGTAGTTTGTCAAGGCAGAATCCACAACATTTGATGTGTTGATTGTACACATGTTTGTGTTAAATAATTGTGTGAGTTCCAGTTGATGTAATTGTTGGTTAATCTTGTTTGTGTCCGTACATTCCACAAATTACAATCGTCAACCTGAGAAGGGTTGTAGGCGTCCTGGTGAAAGTCCTGCAATTCTTCAAAGGAATTCCACCAAGACATGATCGGCGAGGTTGTTCGTACTATTTGTATATACGTGTGGTGTGTCATATCAATTGGTGTATTTTGGATTGATTGTGTTTACTCGTTGTTTTCGTACCTTGTTTTTATTGCATAATTTTGTTAAAATTTTCGTCGTGATTACTTCTGAAGTTGTTTCGAGTCTTCTACATCCGTGAATGAATTGATTGATGTTAAGGACAGCAGATGGGTCGTATACACCGGGGAGGCTAGGCTATTGCTGAGAATGAAACGCACACGGAGATAATTGTTAGCTGCGGTCCGACACGCCGGGGAGAAAGAGTGTAAACGACTGAGGCTCGCATGCGTCACCGCTACTAGAACTGAGGCAGAATGAGTGACAAGCGATTTCAATGGTAATTGGTAGTGAGTAATTAAGAGGATGTGCATAGAGTATCGTGAGGTGCTGCCATGGTCACTTTGCATTCTGCAAGAGTCATTCTAGCAAGTGGCGATTGTGTTGCAAGATGTCAAGAGGAGGTCTCTGTCTGGACGCGCAGGTCGTCATTGATGTGTGAGATTGTGCTGTGGGTATGCTTGTGGTGTGTTGGCTTTTCTGTTTGTTTTCCATTTCAGCTCTGTCCGTGTGACCCAGGTTCTCGCAATGGCATCCAAGTCAACGTGCATTGATCGTGAAGGAAAAAAGGGTTGGATCCCTTTTTTGCCGGGGAGTGTCAATGGAGTTGAAGATTGAACGATCAATTCTTGGTTGTTTGCTCAAAATCAACTTCCCCGATTTTCGCGGAGGCATCAATACGACAGTCATCGTCTCATCGGTCGCTGTTCAGAAAGAAGAGTAAAATATCGTCAGAAGTAACAATGATTTATTATTGTAATATTAGTTTTCAGACCTTAGTTGCTTAGTTCGTTTATTCCTTTTATATGTTGGTGTAACAATAAAGAAATAACAAGCAGCAGATCGGTGTTTTGGTTTTTGCGTCCGTTATAACTAAGCGTTTCTGAGAAAACTTCGAAGTACAGCGTGGGCCCGAGCGTAGCGAGAGCTGGGCATTAACGGTTTATGAGACGTGATTGACAGAATAGACGTCGGAAATTCTAGCAGATGTAAAAAGTATCACATCTGGCATCCTTACTTTCTCATAGGCTTTCAAATGAAACGGAATGTTAGCCAGATTCTTTGCACTTAGCCTTATCTAGAGATGACTAAGATTCAGAGTCAAGTTAGCAGTTTAAGTAACAGTGAACATAGTGTATAATACGTTTATTATCGGAGTGCATGGTGATGGTAAGGTGTCTTATTGTACATTGAGATTTTATTGTTCTCTGTTCTACTGTTCAACTATAAGCCACGAAGTTCAAAGGTACAAAAGCCAGGGAGACCTCATGGATTGCATTATCACTAGAAAAGTAGTATTCCTCAGTTTCCGTGTGAACGCAGCATTGGCAAAAGTGAAATGTTATCTCATGGTGAAATGCTCGTCAAGTATGGGGTAGGTCTAGCTGACGCCCTCTTAGACCTCTCCAGGCTGGTAGTAAGCCTGTAATAGGTGAATGGCTAGGCTTCCGACTAGCTCCTCCACCAACAGAAACAACACTGTCGTTACTGAGACGTTAATTGTCGAAGTATTGAGCTCTGTTTTGTGCTCGGTAGGCAAGAAATAGAAGAGATCTTGTCATTTAGTGTTACCTCGATTTAGAAGGCTTGTTCTAATTCACTCACTCGCTATTTGTTAGCATCATAAGACATGTATGATGGTAGTAATAATAATAATAATAACAATGTGATTATTGCAAACAGTAATATCTGATATTATGTGGAATTGTCTGTGTGTAGTACAGTATCGCTTGTAATTTTCTTTTATGTTATATAGTAAGGGGAGAGTTATTCCGTGGGCTAGTGTATTTTTCCCACGTACTGCATATACATACATACATGCCTTCAAATTGAAACGAAGTATCGTCTCTTAATACTTTCAAGATATTTAAAGTGTATGCTTACTTTGACAGATTAAAGAAGAAAATAAAGAAAAATACATCAGCCTTTTGCCTGAAAAACACTTGCAAATTTTCGCGGAAAAACTTCTGGTCCTTCTGGAAGCGTCACCAGACAGAAGAATACCTATCAATGATCTGACAGATGTGTATGCAAGACATCACGGTTATGCTTTGTGTTTGGAGGATTTCAACGTGTTCTCATTGAAAGAGTTATTATCCAAGTTTCCACATCTATTCTATACTGAGGTACACTATTCGCAAGAAATACAGAATACATCGAAACTGTCATCGGAAGATACACCAACTGAAAATATTGGAGGTGTCGAGCAACAGACCGGACGGAATCAAGGTAGTGGTCAAGTAGCAGATACGAAAGTGGGAAATACTGCAGCCATTGATTACCCCACTTCGAATTACAATGCTATTGAATATGTGTGCTTAGTTGATCGAACAGTGATCAAACATCTAGCACACAGGGTTATTTTTATATTGCAACAATATCAGCTAGGAGCTACGTCTCTTCTGTCGTTTTACGTACTGTTCCAATATCAGTTTAGAAATGAACCTATGTTGGATGTAATATTTGAAGAATTGGAAAGTATTGTGGAGGTAAGGCAAATTTTAACTCCACTAGACTGATTGGTTTATGTGGTTATGTCAGTTGATTTCTCACTGTCTTGTGAAGTTAGTATTAGAATTCTTGTAGAAGAAGTACGTATCTAATTTGACCTGGTTAACCACATCTAAGTGTGGAAGCGATGTCACGAAATAACTGAATTTGGATACACCGACTGTCAGTCTCCTGAGGAAAGTTAGCTGTGATAGAGGGGTGGGAAATCGGGGTAGAAGCAGTTTTCCTTTATTTTCCATTATGCAAAGGTGATCATAAATGCATTAAAGAGATACGTGAAACAGTCCGTTTATGTGGTTGCTGCTTTGAAGATAACTGCGTTAAAAACTATTCTATAAATGTATAGCTTGATGATGGTAATTAGTGAACAGTGAACCGTACACGTAACATCTTCCTCAGGTTCCACGGTTAGGATTAGAGTATGTAAAAATGTATGCGTGAGATATGCACTACTTATTCCCATCTGAGCATTAGTTACACTGAGATTGATTTACATGTGTTTTGTAATCTGAGAGAGGTGAAATTACTTTACTATAGAGTACACGATAGCATTGAATACTGTTGTTTTTAGACCAGAATATGTAAACAGTCAACTATTGGCGTATGAAATGAGGCGTTTGTCTGAAATATTCAGTTAACCTAGTTCTTGTAAAATTTGGGAAGAATCCCTAAAAGCATGAACTGCTGACATTTTTCGAACTGGCTCTAACCGTTGTTGTGACCATCTCTCCAGCACAGGCTAGCACTGCGAAACATGCGAAACAATGACAAAAGTTACTTTTAGAACAGGAGTTGAATTGATTTGAAAAAAGTTTTCAGTGAATAGATTTCAAACCAAACTTTGTATACATTCCATTGTATCATTCCATTCTTGTAAATTAGCAAATTATCTTAAAACTCAGTGAGTGCCTGGGAGTCATCCTGTAATTGACCACCATTACCCTTAACAGCCTCGAATAATTTACCTGCAATCATCGAAGGTCTTCCAAACCTTTGACGTAATATGCTCGTTGCCTCGTAGTAGCCCTCTTTTGGCTTCATAAACTTACAACACTGTATAGCTCTTGCAGCACCTCCAGTGCAATACCTCGTCAAATACATCAATTTCAATTCATCACTTAATAAAAAACTACTCAACATGATCTCAAACTCCTTTACAAATGGTAAATAATCGGCCGGGTTTCCATCAAA